GAGCCGGCCCGGCCCCGCTCCGCTTCCGCGGGCCCTCCCCGCCGCCGCTCTAAGACACAGCCCGCCTCTCGGATTCCCAGAGGAGCTTCACGTCCCGGGTACCAGCTGCCTTAGCTGCTGAGGAGAAGGTGCAGCAGAGCCTCACCCCATTTTCACCCAGCCATCTCCCCGGGCACAGCCCCTCACTCTGCTCCAGCGGCACAAAGCCGAGCCGAGGAGCAAAAGGCACCCGTTCCCTCCTGCTGCGCTGCCTGGGGTCTGAGAGATCCTAATCCCACTCCCAGAGGTACCGGGCCACTGTGGAGAGGCACTGTGCTGCTCGATCGGCAATGCAGCCTTGGGTGGCCCTTGGGAGAGTCGCTTGGCCCACCTCCTTAAGGTGCACCTCCTGGCACAAGGCAGTGGAGACACGCTGCTCCGTGATTCCCAAAGGATGCTCAAAGGGTACAGTCCCTACCCCCCAAGAGGACCCACCAATCCCAGTGGATCAGCCAAGCACAGGAAACGCGATGTCAACAGAGGTTGCAGTTTCCAATTAATCTTAAAGGTAGTATAACATTAAAGCTTTAGGGTTCCTCCCTTTTCCACTGTGCAGGTGAATGTCCTGTACTTGCCTACCTCCTGCCTACTGTACTGGGGAATGGCTGCAGTATCACAGGCTGCAATTATTGCTCTGCTACACAGGTACATTTGTCCCTCAGTATAGGTGCTGTCTCCTTAGATACTGGAGTGAAAGGTGCATTCTGTATTACCCCTACAGGAAACAACCATGAACACCTTTTCTCCCATTTTTACCCCTCATTTGTGCCAGACTCTCTCCTTGTGCTACATGTCTGGCACAGTACAAACACCAAGTACTTGGAAATACAAGATTAGATGGTTGCAATTAAGTCTAAATAAAATCAACAGCACCACTCTACAAATGAGCTTATGTTCAAATTTAGCATGGACAAGAGCAAGAAATACAGGCAAACCACATTTCTTTTGTCTCTAAGCAATTCTCTAATCAAACCACAGATAGCTTAAGCTGAGGCTGAACACCTATTGCAATAGCAATAAGGTATGATAGTAATGCCCTACACTAACTCGTATTTGTTATACATCTATTTAAATCTGTGCCACTTTTGGTTACTGAATTACTTCTTATGCATCCTGCTGTGTTGCTCACCAAAGCCAAGGATCAACAAGACTGAGATCTCCAAACTTTAAAATCTAGCTCTGAGCTGCCTTCCTTGGCAGGTTTATCAGACTTTTGTATGTGATCCAAGAGCATGCTCAAAAGACCAGCTGTGTTTGTCAGCTCTTTTTCTTCACTCTGCCAGTAGATAAAACTGCTTCAGAGCTTTTCACAAGTTCCACTGGCATGCTAGATCAGTGTTGTGATCCCTGGCTTTGGGAAGATTAATATCATGCATATTTTAAAGTAGTATCACTATATTTTATTCCCAAGACTTTGTCTTGGGAATGTGGAAACACATCTGGATTTATTTAAACACACAGATCCCAGGGCTTTTTTGTCATGCAGAATGGTCTGACGATCTCTGACATTATTGGGTTATTTACTAATGGATAATTATTTGCCTCACATGCTTTAGAAGAGGAAAGATGTTACAAAAAGGTGACAAAAGTTCATTGAAGGATATCTTATTTCCTAAAACTGCCAGTCTTTAATGTCAGAGAGCATGAGCTTTTCCCCCTATACTTGTTTGATAAACATAGTGGGCCACATACCAGGAAATACTATTTTAACCACCCAGAAGGCAACATTGTATTACTATGCAAACACAAAGAGACCATGTCAGATCCTTCCTTAATGTTCACTGCAGAATTGACAGCTAGATTTAGAAAGGGACTTGTACCATCTGCCAAGGCACATATATACTGAATTGTTTTCAAACAAGTGCAGTCAGAATCCATAGCTGACAATTACTGTTCCAAATAAAAGTTACCTCAGGGCAAACTCCAGGGCAATTTTCTGCTCTAATGTCTAGCTTGTCTGTGCATGGCATTATCTCTAGCCTGATCCCATCTCTGCTTACATTACGCCACTAGCGCTGCCTGCCCTACCACAAGATCCAGCAAAGCCCCTTGGTGCTAGCTGCTCCTGCTTCACCACCTCTGCTTTTCCAAGCATTCTAAAACATTTTAACTCATTCAGAAAACTATGTAATTTTCCATGGCATAAACTACTGCTCCACACAAAAAATCTACCAGAAAGCTGACTCTTGAAAAGAGTAGCCACCAAAACAGATAAATGCAATTACCCCCCCCATCACATTCTTCCTAGAACACGGTCACTTTTACATGCATATGTTCAAGTCTGTTACTTTTGCTGCTATTGTGCTGGTGATAATCATACTGAAATATTATAGTCCTTCAGGGAAGAATAAATGCATTCCACTTGAGTATTCAAAATCATCTTTAAAAATGAGCATTTGCCCAAACCTATATATATTCAGCACTGTGCACATGCAAGCTCAGTGGTAATGGACCCCAGTGATATGCAGTGTGCCATCTTTTGGTTATGTATGATGATCACAGCATGAACCACAGCTTTATTTAACCATTATCGAAAAAAAAAGAAAAAAAAAAAAAAAGTCATTTGTCTGATTTGTCTGTACACAGCCTTGCTTCATTTTAATTCCAAGGTCATCTGAAAACCTCTAGTTAAACCAGATTCAGTCTTTAAGCCTAACTGATATAATACTCTTAAAACACCTAAAGAGTATTCCTGCAATGGATATGCATCCAGTTAAATCACTTTCTAAACTGATCTGATTGGGGGGCGGGGGGGGGGGACGGGACACGACACAAAACACAAAAAACAAACAAACCCCGAGTTTGCTGAAATCACTGGCAGTCAGTAGGTAGATGTGGACACCTGTGCTGCTGGTCCTAACTGAGGCCCCAAGAGCACCACACTCCAGGGAGTGGGTTATTTTGTGCCCATGACTGGCTTGTGCGAAGAGCAAAAGCAGGCCTCCCCCAGGGTTGCCTCTCCTGTGTGAACCACAGGGAGCCAGCATGCTGCAAGCATGTGGTTACACTGGGAGTCTTCTGTAAACAAGTAAGAGAAAGTGTAGTTGTGTATATTTGAAACCTGAACTTAAATGCTTGTCTGAGCATCCTACACACTACAGCCAAAACAATACAATATATTAACAGACACACTGCCTTTGCCAGGGAATGCTGTGACAGGGAAAAGCAAGTGCCCAAATGCAATGAAATACTGCAGAGGGGGCCTCCTAGCTTAATGGGGGTAGTGTGTTAACTGTGCCATTGCATTAGGAACAACCACAAATAAAGAAAAACACCCAAAAGATTAAAAATAGCAGAGCAGCTCAGCATTGCTAGTTTTAGAGGAAAACCTGGGAAAATAAACCCCTCTGAAAACTTCCTTTTTGGAGATAATCAGATGCAGCAGCCAAGCCTGTCTCTGAGATCCCCTGCTTACTCTATCAGGCAGGGGCTGGAAAGAGCAGAGCACTCATCAGATTACAGAGATCTGTCATCTTAAACCCTTGTTATCAAGTGACAGAAGGCACTGAAACATTCTACAAACTGCTCTGTTTTCCAGCTTGTTTTACGAGATCAGTGTACAAGCTGAAGCCATACAGAAGGGGACAAGGAAGAAGAACCTTTACGGCATCTTTTAGGAAGCGTGTGCATTGTGGAGGTCCGCAGCTGAAGCTCTCCAAGAAGAGGGCTCTGGCTGCAAGTAGGGCTGGCTGGGTGCCTGGACTCTCACTGGGTATCTTGGCTGTTTGCCATGCTGATGAAGAACTTGTCGCTGCCTTCCTGAAAGCTGCATCCCTCAGAGGACTCGCACACCACCATGCCAGCCCAGCAGAAGAAAATAATCTTTTGCATAGCTGGGGTACTGAGCTTTGCTTGCGCACTGGGGACAGCGGCAGCCATCGGCACACAGCTGTGGGTTAAGGGGACGATACTCTGCAAGACTGGAGCCCTGCTTGTCAACGCCACTGGCCAGGAGCTGGAGAAGTTCATTGGTGAAATCCAGTATGGGCTTCTCTATGGTGAGCGTGTGAGACAGTGTGGACTTGGGGGGAGACCTTTCCAGTTTTCATGTGAGTAATAATAGCATTTGAATTATTTAGCACCACACTGCTGACAGTTAGGGGAGCTGGGAGATGCTGCCCCAGCATCCCCTTGCTTATACAGAGTCTAATAAGTTTGAAATATGCTAAAGGAAATGCTGCTGAGTGTTCTGATCTTCACGTACAAATAATTTATTTTCTGATACTAGTAAAGTCACACTAAGATTTTCAAACAATCTAATTTTCAGTTACACAGATATCTCTATTGCAAAAGACATACTAATACTTTGAAAAAGAGTATTTCTGGTTTTCAGTTAATCTGTATCATCTTCCTCTGTATATGTGTCAACATTATGTCCTCTGTGCCATCATGAAAGAATGAACTAATCTAGCAGAATCTCATGAAAGACGTGGGGCATAGATATGCTCAGCTATTGTTGAGAAACAAAGCAGCTGCATTAACTGGAGGAACTGCTGGTTGTTGCTAGCTGACATGCAGTTAGCTGTTCTGCAAGTCAAACTTGGTATCCGACATACAGAATTTTATCAAAGACTGTTAGCAATGGTTTTGCTTTACATGTAACATAATGTATTCATCTTCAAGCGCAAGATGAACAACAAAATGATCAAATGAATATAGTTTGTATATAGCAGCACATTAAACAGTTAATAACAGTCATTTGTTCTATTTGCAATATACCACCTGAAGTTACTACAGAACAGAGCTTAGAAGCATTCTGCTAAAACAGCACGATAAATTACTAATATGAGTCATTTAAGGCAAGGTAATGTTACCGGATTAAGTATCAAATTATTTACTATATAATATTTTTCCAAAGTAGTAGACCAAATTAATATTAAAATTTTTCATCTCTAATTAAATTCCACTGCTAATCTATTTATACAGATGAAGTTCCCTCCACCACTTTGTCTGCCATCACAGTGATAGGCTGGGGTGAATTTTCAGAGGGGCAACTGAATCCCAAGGAATTAGTTTTCTGCTGTAGGTCAAATTGCTGTGAACCACAGCTGACAAAGCCACTAATGATCAGCAGCTCTGTGACTGCCATTTGTCTGGGTTCCGTACAGCAATGGAGCTTGAGGCACAGCAAAGCAGCTGTAAAACAAGGACCAGAAGCAACTGCAGCCCGTGGCTGGAGCTGTCCCCACAAACAGCCTCCTGTGGGCCCTGGCTGGGTGCACCTTAATTCCTACAGACAGAGCTTGGCTGAGCAGTCCCAAGGTTTGCACATGGGAGCTCCTGGGCAAGAAAAGCAGGGCAGAATCAATCAGTGGCCAGCCTGGTACAGGGGAAGTTTTGGAAGTTATCGTCACATGTCATGCATTCCTTTCTAGTCCATATTGGCTTGGTGCACAAGGCAGGACTACATCTGGCCACCCTGATAACCCACGCACCCAGAGCAGTCACAATTGAGAGCTCACTGGCTTTCTTTTCTAATAATTTTCTTTCCACATGTTATTTGAATACTTTTAAATCATTTAATTGATGTGCCTTACATTCAGGCTCTCATCTGTGTATTTCATCTTGTTATGGCTGAAATACTTTAATATATTCCTAGTGTGATTGTAGCAGTCATTTCAAAAGAATTTTAGTTTTGTGGGCAGTGTGAATTAATATCACAGGTACAAGAGAATACAAATGCACAGCTTATTTGTGATGGTTTGATAATATCAATCATCATGTATTTTTAAACATCTCACAATGCCACATACAGATAAGCCCTGGATCTGTGAAACTACTGCAGAGCATTTTCAACCAAAAGCGCCCCAGTGTTGCAGAGTTTGCTCTCACTACGGCCATACACTTTCTATCCATGCTCACAGAAGTCTCATGTAACCAAGTTTTCCTATACAAATATTTACCAAACTTTCATTCATAAGTGTATTTTCAAATGAGCATATAAACGCAAACATATAAACATTTGTGTTTGTAAGAAATAATATAATGTGAAGTATTTGATTACAGCTGAGCAGCCCACTTTGAAATGGTAAAAAATGCACAAACCCTGAATGTTCATACAGAGCTGAAGAATCCTACTGCACAGCATAATTTTAAAAATCAATTTCTTTAATATGAGTGCCAAATGTACATATTCAGCAAACTTCAAGGCTTTCAGGAGTTGCATAAAGAAGTGAAAGAATAACTCAAGTTTAGTAAATAGCACTGCTCTCATTTTCAGACAGAGAAAGTGAGGTTTGAAGCACATGCTTTAATGCCTGTTCCCAGGATCTGGGATCAAGGCTGGATTTAACCTCACGCTAGAGACCTCTCGAGTTAGAAGTGAAGCTGCTGACAAACCTGTGATGCAGCAATGACCTTCCCCAGAGAGAGCAGCCTTGCTCCCCATGTCCTGGCTCACCAGGCAGCAGCAGATGATCACCTGCAGCAGCAGAGCTGGCAGGGCTGAAGCACTAGGCTCAGAAACATAGCCCCAGAGCCTTGGCCCACCTAAAACTGAAGCCAAGCTTATTTATTGGAGCATTCTTTTACCTTTTATTCTCCTTACATACACACCAAGCATTAACAGTGAGATATTTCAGTAAGTCTCACTCACAGTATTACAAGCCCATCCTGTCAGTCTCATTTGCCTGCACTGTTATCCTTTATGTAGCACTTTGAAAAAGTAACACTACAAGGTGATCTTTGGCACTGTCTATACATTAAATAGGGACCTCTTACAGCTTAAATAATTTCACAAGCCCAGTTGCACCAATCACAGCACTCCATGGGGCAAGGCTTTGCTTCCATGGGCTAAGGCTTTGCCTCCATGGGCTTTTACTGACAGCTGAGGGTGGAAGCATTGCTGTCCTCGTAAGTTGTTCTCGCATCATCTTTTATTTTATTTAGATTGAAAAGCAAATACAACATTTAGAAACAATGACTGGGTGGGTAGCAAAATATGCCTCTACTAATAGCGTTCACTTCAGAGACCGCTTAATGGAAGAGCTGGTTCACATTACCTGGGGCTGCAGCAGACCTGGACAGGCCCAGGCAGCATGCTTAGGAACTCCCTGGGAATGTCCCAGAAAGCAGGATAACCCAATACAATATACACATGCATAGTGTAATGCACTGAAGTGCACTTTAGCATGCCTAAGGAAAGGCATGGAAAATAGACTAAATTATTTAGTTCTATGTTTGCTCCCATTAAATGCTCCCCTCTGACCACTATATCCCTTTTAATTGTAAAATGAATTTGCTCTGCCAGCAAACCCAGTTCAGCCAGGGAAAGCCTTCTGCTTCATTTGCTCTTGCTGATTCCCATCAGTTTCTGGGTCAGCAGTTCATTTTCTAAAGGTCTCTGGCATGCATACCTGATACAATTTCATTCATTATAATGAACATTTTTCTTTCAAGACAACATAGCTGCTGGAATTAATTTTTCCTCATATGTCACATTAAATTTTAATGACAAACAACTATAAATGCAGGTGCCAAGGGAAATATTCAGTACAATGCAGCAATGTGTTTTTCTTAAAATAAACAAAAGTGTTAAATACACAGTGTTTCATGTTCTCCCAAAACATCAGGTGGCATTGCAAGAACTAATGCTATTCCTTGTAGAAATTCTGCTCAGGCAGGGACTCTTCGGCTTTTTTGTTGTGTAGCCTGAATGGTACAACTGTAAAATTATATCTTATACCACATTAACAGTATAACTGCTTCTTATGCTTGTAAATTCATTAAATATGTAATATAAAGTTCAGTAAACACAAGGTATAGTTTCTAAAGAATGCTTTGTGTTTTGTTAGGATGAGATAAGGAATTTAAGTACCAGTGGCCAAACTGGACACCAGCCATCAGTAACCCTGTGTCTGGTGAGGGTCCCTGCGCCATGGTCCTCCATAGGCACTTCGTGCTGCTTTCTGCTCCCAATAGCTACCACCAATGCAAAAGGTGATATTTAACATGGCTTAAAGAACAGTTTGTAAACATTTGCTTCAATTTCCCTTTCATTTAGACAGGGAGATAAATTAACTTGACACCACCTTACTTGCTTCACCATGTTCACTGCATGGCAAGCTGCAGAATTGTTTGCTGGTAAACATTTTACAAGGTAGAGTAATTTATGTGAGACTTTTTTTACTCTCCGCACATTACAGCTGCAGTGAGGCAGCGCCAAGGCATTATTACGCCCGCTTTAATTGTGCCCTTGTGGATGACAAGCAGTTAAGTGTTTTTGATGATTCCTTCTAAAATACCCATTGTTGCCAAACAAACATGAATGAATAAAAGTTACTCTGTCATACTGAGTCTGATTGACTATCCTCTTGTGCCCTAGCTAAGTAGGATCACAATTTGAAAGAGCAGCTAAAAAGATGCATAAAAATGTCTAAAACAAAGCATTCCCAAATCTTCGCATACATAGGGGCACATGGCTGGGACCCAGCACAGCCCTCAGTACATCAGGCACCATTCGTTGACTCCAAGAGTAAAGCTGCCTATTCCATTTGGATACTGCTTCCCACTGCTGCAGCCCTGGCCCTTTCTGTGGGCTCTCTTGGGGCAGCAACTGGGGCAAGAGATAGTGACAAATGCAGCTGATACAAAAGTTTCCAGCTTTTGGAAACTTAAAATTATACAGCATTAACTGCCTAACACACGCAATACTCGCAGCATCCTTACTCTCAGCTCCACAGAGCAAAGCTCTGCTGCAGACAACTGGCATCTAGCCTGCTGGCAGGGCACAGCACTGGCCTTCACATCTATACCTTCATTTTACATGTTCTCTCTTATTTTATCTCAGTACCCCATTTTTTTATTGTAAGGTTTCTCTATTTCCTCTCATTGATTTATCATCTTACCTTTTTGGCCTTGGTCTTCTCGACACAAGACATTCTGCAAGTGTTTTATTTGGGAAAATACAGGGGAGAAAATTTTGATCTTATTTGTTTATTCTTTCAAAATCTCATTCAGAAAGTTAGTTGCTTTGTTACAAATAATTTTTATGTAAACTTTATTTTCTCCCTCTTTAGTATCATATTTCATTTTAAGAATAATTTAAGAGATTAATGTATGTACATTATATATAGAAGAGATTTCATACATCTATTTTTAAGGATTTTTGTCAAAAATACTTTTCCATGTTCTAAAGTAGAACATTACCAAAGGCTAGGAGCTAAGAAACCTCTGATCCTTTTAGGTGTCTACATGTCTCCAGCAATAACCGTTGTTGGATTTTCACGGGGAGCCTCTGTACTATAAACAACTTCACACATTACCTTCCCTGGATAGCAAACATTCCTGGAGCCTTGAGCATCTCCCACCCACATGTAGTGCACAACACATTTAACCTTCCAGTATGTTGGCAGTGTAGCTCTACTAATGATTTCCTGCTTCTTCATAACAAAACATGGACCTTTTAAGTTACAGATTGTTTGCTTAATGTTTTCAGAAAACACCCACATATTCTCTGGTTATAAACATACCAAACCAACACTGAATATTTGTATCAATCGAAGTGGTGGAATCCCTGATCTGAAATAGGAAGGCAGTCAGCATCCCAGCCAGGAGCAACTCTTTGCTTCCCTTGCAGATGAAGGGACAAGCCCTAACACTTGCGTGCTTGAGGCACATCAGATGTAAGCAGACAGCACACACTACTCCAAACCAACCATGTTTGAGGCTGGTGGCATCCTGCACCAGGTACAGGGGAATAGTGTGCACAGATAATTACCCTTGGGAAGGGGAGGAGAGGCTTTCTCTAAGCTGATCTCTTTCTCCTTGCCAGTCTATGATTCTGAGCTTCACAAAATGCTTCTGCTGCCACACATCCATTAAAATCTTTTTCTAGTAACTTCATTTTCATCTTCAGTTGCATTTCAAAGAGCCCAATTTAAAATAATTACCACAAAGCAGTAAGAAATCCCTGGCCTGACTGAAACAACTTTGCTTAATGTGTATAATAACATTTTGTTAATTTTGTTTCTAGTTTTTCCAGATTTGCTCAAAATTATCCCTGCAAGTATCCATGTTAGTGTCATTCTCTTCTGTACAGTACTGATCATCTTTGCTCTGGTGGGAGCAGGTTTCTTCATGTTCAATGCTTTTGGCAGCCCATATGAAACTCTGCATGGCCCTGTTGGGTTGTACCTCTGGAGCTTCATTGCATGTAAGTACCACCCCACCCTTGGCTTGCCAGGCTGGTGCTGGTCCATGTGTGCCACTTACAATGGCCAGTTTATTGGCATAGGAGACCAATATTACAGGCCATGGCTGCATTGACTTCAAACTGGCAAAATAATGCTAGACAGGAAGATGGATGATTTTGGTGTTTCAAAACATGTTTTTTCCAAACTGGAGTTAAGAGAAAAATTGCCAAAATCCTCAGCAAGGGCAGGCAGCCACAGGAGGCATGGCAGGCAGCCTGGGCACATCCAGCCCTTCTGCACAGGCTGGCAGAAAAAAGCAATGGTGCCCATAAGCTCCAGGGACCCAGAGCTGTGGCCACATCTTGGATCTGCAGCATATGGTCAGAACTGGGAAAAACACCAGAGGGGGGAAGAGAGATAAAAAAAATAACAAGAAAAAGAAAGGCAATGATGCAACTGCTCGCATTCACCATGATGGGAGGTTTTCAGCTGGGTGAGCAAGATCACCACTTACACCAGCAAGACCTTCTCAAGGAAAGAAGGGCCTGAGAAGCAGAGAGGGAAAGACTGACGGCAACTTGCTGTAAAAGTAGTGTCTGAAAAACACACCGCCAGCAAGGATAACAGACCATCCTGGTCCCTCTGCCACTTAGAGAGGGTAAAGCTTCTGCATTGCCGGCTTGGCTGACAAGATGACTTACCATTACTTTACAAGATATTACACATTACAATCATAATTTAATAAAGGACTTAGGTACATATTTATCTTCAAACATGCAGACAGTTCAGTCACATTCAATGGGACAATGAGCAGATTAAAGCTGAAAAAGAGCACAGATGCTTTGCTGGATCAGGGACCTAAAGCAGCCATGCTAAATATTACTGGCCTTAATCCAAATTCAATCTAAAAAGCTTACCAGTTTCAATAGTGGTTGACTTGGATTCCCACTATTCCATACAACACTGTTACACTGGCCGTAACAACACTATCAATATAGCATTTGGTTGCAACATACAACACATGGCCTTGCCAAGATGATTAACACCTCCCCCTCTTTTTCAGGTTCCTGTGGGTGCCTCATTATGATTCTATTCTCTTCAGAAGTGAAAATCCACCACCTTTCAGAGAAAATTGCTAATTTCAAAGAGGGAAGTTTTATATTCAAGACTCACAGTGAACAGTTTGCAAATTCATTCTGGATCATCCTGGTTTGCTCCCTGGTGCAATTCCTGAACACTTTGCTAATACGGTTTGCTGGATTTGAATGTCCCTTTTCAAAATCAAAAGATTCAGGGACCATCACTGGAGCAGCTGACCTGATGTATTAGAATTACATAATTCAAAAACATTTCAAGCAAAGAGGTCCATCGCTACAATATTCAACAGTCACCAGATAAAATAACTTGTAAGTGACTAGCTCTAAAGAATCTTTTTTTAAAGTGAAGGATTCAAATAAGCATCAATATGGCATATGCAATAAACAAAAGTCATGCTATTTGGTAATGTCTAGATCAAAACATCCTCTCTTTCTTAAGGTAAGACCTTATCAAGACATTTGTCTTTTTTCAGTAAGATATTTGAAAAGTAACTGGTATGAGGAAAACTGGGGATATCAATAGCATTGAACTAGATCTGGAAACTAAAATAAATGAGTTGCAAATAGAGGCACACCAGCAGCAACACTGCTATCACCAGCAACAGTTCTGCCCTTTAGCCCTTGTGAAGGCACAGATATGGTGGTTACCGTGCACTCCCCATGTTGCACTGCATCCTTCCCAAGCCTCACAGTACAAGGAACCCTGCCCAGAAAACAACCCTACAAACTCTCTCTTATGAAACAATACAAATAAACATAGTCAAAACCTTTGGCAAAGAGCATCAATGGAGTTACATGAGACAGGCTTACAAGGCATGCTGCAGCTCAGCAGAGGCTGACAAAGAAACGTGTGAGGTTCTCTACTTCAAGGTATGCAGGAAGGCAGACTGGATGAATGCACCAGCCCTTGCACCCTTAAACTTCTGCAAGTCATTTGAAGCAACCAGACTGCTCATCCCTGGTGCAGCTAAGCCAGCACAGTCATGGACAGATACATCAAAAGAGCATTATGCCACCAAACACTACCTCCATGGGACTATGTGGGTACTTTGAAGAATGAGTTGCTCCTTGTAGGACATAGAAACAATGTTCACAGCAGGCAGGAGTGGAGGTACTCAGGGGGAAAGCCCCTTCCCCAGCTGCCCATTTATCTGCAGGAGCTGAAGCTCCTGCACAGCTGTGGGTGAAGAGCAATCCCAACCTGCATCTGCCTCAGCACCTGTGGAGATGGTCATCCTCCAGATCATGTTGGGATTTGTTTCACAGAACTATATGCTTCAATGACCTCACTGACTTCTATGCCATGTTTTATACTTTTACTATGAATACCAAAACATTGCTGGGGTTGTTTGGTAAAAAGTTTGTCAACTATACTCCTACTGCCCAAACCCTTTCATAAAGCAGCTCTGCCTCCCCATGCTGTACTGTATCTCCCTAGATTTTAACAATGCGTAAGGGCTACTGCAACTTTTTAAATCGTTTTCTTCTGAATTATATGCATAGTCTTCTCAATGTATCTTCTTAATACATGATATGTATTACATCTCATGGTATTGTTTACTATACAGCAAATAATGAGGAGTAATGTTTCATCCTTCTTGTTCCTGACGTTTCATCAAGTGCTCTGCTTGGCAGGAGACACAGGCTGCTCATGTGCGTGTGGCTTTCTGAGTGGATCTTGACACTCCTGAAGAAGCTGATTTGTATGTGTAAAATGTAGAGCTGCACATACCTGCCTCAGCACAGAAGATAAACCCATTTCAATCCCTTTTGCTGTGCAGGAGAGAGCAGCCCCTGCCTTGGGGTCCAGGAGTTTTCACAGGGGATCACTTCCCAAAGAGCCCAGCTTCACTGCTCCCCCCATGTCCCACCTCACTCACAAGCCTGAGGCCAGCTGTTGTTTTCATCCATATCCATTTCCAAAGGCAAACATAAAAACTTCTTACTAGCAAAATAAAACTGAGACGATATTTGTGTGTTTGACCAGCTGAAAGTAACAAGTTGAGTATGACCTGCTCAGCTTGTGTTTCTGGTGAGCACTAGCACATGCCCTGTGGCTCGCTTATAATCCATGAGCATCAGCTGAGGCAATTTTACCCTGTTTAATTTCTAGACTAGCATAGTTCACTATTTATGTTAGAATCATAGAATCATAGAATAGTTTAGGGTTGGAAAGGACCTTAAGATCATCTAGTTCCAACCCCCCTGCCATGAGCAGGGGCACCACACACTAAACTATGTCGCCCAAGGCTCTGTCCAGCCTGGCCTTAAACGCCTTATTTAACTAATAAATAAACGCCTTATTAAACTAATAAATAAATAAACAAATCAGAAATTGTATAGCAAAGGGGAAAATATATGAATATATTTTGAAGACTCTTGAAAAAACAGATTTTTTCATATCCCAGTAAGGAGTTAGTATGCACATGTGTCTGTATGTGTGCCTGCATGCAGTCTGCATACCTACAAATGCAAACATATATATAATATGTATATGGGTGTATACAAGGGTGTGTAGCAGGCTTAGACTATGAACCTACTGTGCTGATGTAGGGGTGAACACCAAACACTGAAACTCAGAGACCTCCAGTTGATGCCTTCTCACAGACTAAAAGAGAACAAAGCATGAGATTTCCATGACCCTGGCAGCAGGAAACTGGGCCTGACCCATACCCCTGAATGCCAACCTTGCTACAGCAACTGACAGAAGTCAAAGGAACATCAGTGCGTAGATTTTGCCTTGCCTTGTCTCTCCAGTGAATTCGCTCAACTTTACAGACATCTGCTATGTCAGGGTTTTTTTCCCTTGAGCTACAGATTTCCCACCCAGCCCTCACAACCCAGACCCCATCCTGCTTCAGGTCAGCCCACACAGAGGGAGCTGCAGCCCTGCAGCTTGAAAATCCCTCCCTGCTCCTGCACCAAGCCTGGAGCCAGACCTCACAGAGCAGACACATCCCTGTGGTCAGCTTCAGACAGCTTTCTGCCTGGCATTAAACTTTCACACTGCTTACACAGTGAGCAGAAAAACACAGACTGTGACAGGCTCTCATGAAAGTTTAATTGTGGTGTGGCAGTGAGAGCTGGCAGAAGGGATTCGGGTGCCTGGTGAGGAGCTGCTCCCTGAGCAGCCCCAGTGTCCACATCCCTCCTCATCACCCAGAGCACGATGGGGGAATGGGAAGCCGAGCACTTCATGCCACAGACAGAGCTCCAGGAGATCGTCAGCAAAATTTCAGATCTAAACAAATGGAGAAATGTTTTCAGTTTCCATAGGTAAGATTTATATTCTACTTCATTATCATGTTTAATTCCAGGTGTTTTCTTAATATCATATTTTAAGTTATGCTTTATTAAAGCACTTACGTGACCACGGAAAAAGGTCTTCATATACTCAGGAATGCAAGTACTATAGCTTCTACTCTTTCTTTGTAGCTTCTTTTCTAGCTGGTCTCCTGTTTCTTCATATGCTAGTAATGCCTCTGTTGTTGGTTTGGGAAATTTTTTAATTTGTATTTTATTTTCCCTTTTCAGTTTGGAAATCAGCAATTCAACTCATCAGGTAACTGCTTCTCTAAAGGTTAACATTTTGTATTTGTTTAGTGGTTTTTCTGACTGTTTTGCCAGATTAGCATAGGGAAGAAACTGCACATCTCTATACGCAGCACAGCAGACAGCCTTTATGGAGATCTCTTTCTTATGCTCTTCCTTTAAGAAACAGGCATTTTCTACAGATATTTTAAAGGAATGTCTTGGCTTCCTGATCTAAATCGAAGTGTCAGAGTAGTCCAACATAAATTAACCTTTCTGTCTAAAAGTAACAGTCTTCACGGTCAGTTTTGAACACAGGAAAAAAGAGTAACAATAAAGATTTCTGAAACAAAAATATTTGGAAAACCTGCTGTGTCTTTAGGTTGAAAAGCACTGAAGTTTATTCCCTACAATTCAGACAAACACATTACCATGTACTCAGATCGTTGGCTTGTAGGGACCTATTTGTAATGTTTGCAAAACAGTCGAAGTCCGTCCTGGTTTAACCACAGCTGGCTACTAAGTATCACTAATAATCAACATGGTTTTCAGACTAAAGACAAAACACAGCACTGTACCAGCTACTAGGAGGAAGAGTTACTCTATCCCAGCTGAAACCAGGATAAGGTCAAACACACTGATGCTGCCTGGCAGCACATATTCCCCTCCCCTGCCCCTTCACAAGCCTGTCATTGCGCTCATCCCACTGGGAGTACCAGGAGGGGGTAACTTTTGGGGCATAGAGGCAGTGGCCATGGCATGACTCCCTGTCTGCTCCTCTCTCTGTCCAGCAAGGCGAGGGCAGCGCTAGCGATGAAGCACCTGGAGCTGGAAAGCCATCACAGCCGCAGCCACCAATGCCTCTGTCCTGTTCTGCCATCTCTGAGCCCCTCCTGATCTCTCCAGACACAGGCGGCCGGCCCATCTCCTTGGAAATGGCAATGGTGAGCAGGCCTGATGAGTTATGCATGAGCTGTAATTTAATCTCATTAAAACAAAGAGACTCAGGGACCTTATCTGGCATTATGGGAGACTCAGCATATTGCTGGGCTGAAGGCTGCAGCCTTCTGTTAGCTGTAACAGAAGTATGTAATCGTAATGACTTATTTATGAAACTTTCAAAGAACATGGTTGCAACACAACCTTTCAACGGGTATACTATAATTCTTATTAGATAATAGGTCAAATGACAAAGTGTAATGTTTCCCTACATGCTTCCTTATCGAATAGCCTCAGAATGGGAGGCAGGAGTTCAGGAGATCCGTAAGATATTTCCACTCTCATCTAAACACCTGGTTTTTAGAGCACTAATGATGTGTGCCTGCTGCCCTTGCCCATATGAACAGCCTTGGCCAAGAGCTCGGGGTTTTTCTGCAGGTGATGGCAAAATGGGCTCCGGTGCTGGCCTTACTACCTGGGACCTTCCACACCAAACCAGTCCCTGGCATTTGAGCACAAACTCAATGAGAAACTCAAGAGCCCAGGTCTTCCCCTAAAAGGTGTAGTGTATCCAAAAGTAAATTATTTACATGATGAAATTGTACTTCCCAGGAGTGTTTGAAATGCTGAGGGAAGTAAGTGACTACATTAAGCACAAACATCACCTTTGCTTTGAAATTGTGGGGCCTGATTCTCGGTAGACAACTTTACACTGTTCTGGCACATGTGCTGACCCTGTATCCCAAGGCTCCTCTGATGCTG